ACTCGCCTTCAAAAGTGTCTAAGGAAGCTATCACAAAAGCAACCCTGTTACAGCATCCCATGCTTGGTGCACAATTAAGTAAAGTATAAAGTCTTTAATCCGGATCTCAAAGCTACAAACTTTCTGCACATGCGTAGTGTTTACGCATGCGCATAATACATTTATGCATGCACGTTTAATGTATAACGGACGGTATAAGCTAGGCTAAAATTATCTAATTATCTATTTCAGTTAATGTTACAGATTATGTTGTTCCTTAATCTTCTAATTGGATCCGGCTTATTATTTTCTGCAGACTGTTAGAGCAATTTTATAAAAAGCAAGCTTGAACTTTTGATTGAGACAAAAAGAGTTTCCGATTCTGAAGCTGCCAAAGGATCAACAAAGCGAAACCATGTTTCGATGCCCATCAAACAAAATGTGGAATTGCTGCAAAAAAATGGATAAAGGCATGAAGAAAGTAACAGAGACATTAGTGAAAACGAAAAAATTTCTATTGATAAGTTAGTCGGTATTCTCGGCACAGCAATTACAGGACTTGAACAGTGGAACTTTGTAACTGAACAAGAAATTATGTCTGTTTATAGAATTAAAGAGAAAGTATTAGCACATAAAAAAGCAACTTAACAACTTACATTGAAAGAAAGAAATGTTTAATGAAGTAAACAAATAAATATTAAGCTTTTTTTTTTTTTTTTGTAAATTTTGATACCCTTTAGATCATCATTGCTCTTTATTTCATAAATTACGGTTTCATAGTTTTAATTTTATATTTTCTGCACGCCATCTTACCAGATTTAAATTGATGATTTATAATCCAGAAAAAACCCCTATCCGGAATTGCCGAAGTCCATATGAGTCTGGATTAAAGACTTTGTACTGTAAATGGGTCAATGCGTCTAATGTAGCAATCGGCGGCTCGCTCATGCAACTTGTTAAACAACAATGGGAACACCTATACTTTTATATTCAGCTAAATTAAGTAAAGCTCAAAGGAACTGGTCCACTTACGACCGTGAACTCTACACTACATATTCTTCAGTAAAAAAATTCAGGCACATGCTTGAAGGGAGAAATTTTATCATTTATACTGATCAGAAACCGCTTAAATTTGCATTTCAGCAACATCCTGATAAATGCAGTCCTCGCCAATTATGACATTTGGATTTTATCTTGCAGTTTACTACTCATATTGAATATACTAAAGGGTCTGATAACAATGTCACCGATGCACTTTCCTGAATTCAGATAGATGATATTTCCTGTACTGTGATCGATTTTCAAAAATTCAATGAAGCAATGAAGAACTTCAACAACTCTTAGCATCAAATACATCCTCTCTAAAATTAGAGAAACACTATTTTCCTCTCGAGGATATTTATCTGTATTGTGACATGTCACAAAAACATCCCTGTCTTTTGTTCATCAATCTATGAGATTAACAGTTTTCAATACTTTACATGTTTTCTCTCAGCCTTCATCGATTTAATCACTAAATGTTTTGTATGGCCAGGCATGAGAAAAGAAATAAAAACTTTTGTGCGTTGTTGCGATCAGTGTCAACGAGCTAAAATTGCCAAACACACCAAATCTCGTATTGGCACATTTGCTGAAACTGATGCTCATTTTGCACACATATATATAGATTTTAGAGGCCCTCTACCTCCATCTGACAGAAAACAGTTTTGCATGACTATCATAGACCGGTTCACAAGATGGCTGGAAGTTATTCGAACAGCAGACATGACTGCGGAAGCTCGTGCTTTAGTACACGGCTGGATATCAAGATTTGGAAGCCCAGTTACAATTACATCTGATCAGGGTAAAAATTTAGAATCTAATCTTTTTAGAGAACTTACTCACACAGTTGGGTGCAACAGGATTCGAACCTCTGCATACCACCCCCAGTCAAATGGAATTATTGAATGCTTCCATCCGCATCTCAACACAGCCCTTAAAGCCAATAGCACCACAGAATGGACTGAAACTCTTCCAGTTGTCCTCTTAGGCATACGCTCAGCTATTAAGGATGATGTCAAAGCAACTTCTGCTCAACTTGTCTACAGCACAAACCTTCCAATCTAATAGCGAGTGATGCCATAAACCAGACCTTAAATTCTGCATATGTAAACAGTTTATTTCAAATAATGAGATCTTTAAATCCTATTTCTACCGCCCTACACGGTAGTCCCAAAACTTTCATCAACCCCTCATTAAAAACTTGTTCTCATATATTTTTAAGATCTGATAAAGTTAATCCTCCATTGACACCACCTTATACTGGACCTCTTTTAGCCATTGACAGAAATGATAAGAATTTATTATTGATGTAAATGGCAAATGTACTACAATTTCAATTGATCGCATAAAACCTGCTTACTTCCTGCCAGATGACGTTACTCATACCTCCTCTTTTCCTCCATCTCCAATATGCTTTAATAAAATGTCTACCACTAAAAGTGGCCGTAAAGTCCGATTTCCAAAGCATTTAGTCACAGACTACATTCCTTGAGTAGAAACCTGTACTATAATGTTTTGTATTAAGCATATGTTTCTCCTGCATCTATACCACAAACAGTATATTTTTATTATAATGTAGTTCATATTCTATATTGCACTATTATATAATCATTTTCTGTATATATTGTAATTTGTAATCGTGACTTTGTCACTGGGGGGGGGCATACTCTCTAGCCAATCAGCAAGAGGCGCAACTACATCTGTCCTGTTACGTCACAACTTCTGTCTCACCTCACAGCCTCTTATATGCCGGCGCAGGTTGGGGTGACTCAGATCAACTAACATACCACCTTCAATAGCAACCACCCTTCACTGTCATATCTGTATAACAAAGGGTTGATAAAATAAATTTATTTGTGTTGTTGTTTGTCCTTGTTCATGCCATTTTAATGGCCACCAAACACTTTTTTTTAAAGGAAACTAAGACATAATCCTATTAAATTCTACTTAGGAAGTATTTTTAAGCACCTACAATAAAAACATAACAGTAAAAAATTATCAATTATTAACACATATTGCACACACATCTGCAAAACATTTATTTGAACCCACATGTAGGCCATGGTTACTAAATTTTTGTAACAGAAATATAAGCACTTTCTAATTATCCATACCACCACTGGAAAGTCACAAAAAAGTATTGATAAGGCAATGTATCAAGCCATAAAAAAAGTATTTATATGGAGATAGAGGTATGCATGTACCCAATGCATATTTGCATACACATAGATTTGAAATTTTGAAATTCAATAGTAATTCTTACGATTGGTATTTCATTTACAATGAGTACATTTATTTCTGTTATAATGAACTATAATCGAACTATGCAGTTTATCAGCTGATAAAAAAAGAAAAGCACCACATTTCGTCAGAAATACGGTGTTCACCCCAACAATACAGAACACCAAACTTCATATTCTGTGAAGCTGTACTTTTTAAATGACTAAATTTTATGGAAATGCAATCCAAAAAATTGCACTCAAAAGTGTTATTAGGTTAAAAAACTGGTTTGAGAGCTTGTTTACAATTGCTAATACACATCAGTGACATTCTGCATACAAAAAATGGGATTATACCCAAACTACTGATTTGTATAATTACCTAATAATTCTACTATCGATTGGTACAATTAACTCTGAGAAGTCTACATGTCTTCTATGAAAAAAGAGAAAAGTAAAAAAATAAGTGTTACAGGATGCATCATTAAAAGGGATGTATAAATACCAAAACAAACATTTCTCTCTAAAGTTACCAGCATATTACTTTTTAGTGGAAATGCGGTTAATCAGAAAGTACTGAAAAATTTACCAATTAATTACGAGGGCTATCCAGAAAGTAGATTACGTTTTGGAATAAAAAAATAAACAAAGTATAGGAAACAAATTTTATTATATACAGATGAAAGCCACACTCAAATACTACTTTTCTACATAGTCACCATACAAATTAAGGCATTTATCGTAGCGATGTACGAGCTTGGAAATTCCTTCGTCGAAAAATTCGGCCGCCTGCGCCTTCAACCACTTCATTACCTCTTCTTGCCTTCCATCTTGCACAAAACTTGTGGTAACCAAGCTTTTCGCTGATGATTTCGTGCAACAAAACTTCGCAAAATTTGTGGAAAACTCAAAGAAAGTTCCGTTATTGTGAAATTTCGATTTTCACGGACTTTAGCATCGACCTTTTTCGAGAAGTTCGGCGGTCACTATGCTGGGTCTCCCACTTCGATCTTTGTCGTGAACATTGGTTCGGCCATTTTGAAATCTTATGACCCACTGACGCACTCCACCTTCAGTGATAATGTTGTCCCCATACACTTCACGAAGCTGCCGATAGATTTCTATCGGTTTACAGTTTTTTGCAGTCAGAAACCTTATTACTGAGCGCACCTCACGGGATTTTCAATTAACGCAGACATTTCAAACCGTCACAGTATCTGAACGGAGCACAGCACGAACCTCTTACTAGCACGGCTAGATGCAGACTGAGCTGCGCAACGCTCTGACCCCAAGATGGCCGCGCTAGCCCCGCCCCTAGCGGACACAGACGGAAACGTAATCTACTTCCTGGATGGCCCTCGTATTATTTGGTTTTATATTCCAAGATAACTAAAACATCAATATATATATATATATATATATATATATATATGGATTTCCTAATAATAATCAAGTATATACATTTGTTTTTGAAATAAAACTTTTAGGATCCAAAGATCATCAAAATGCCAAAAATGCAAAAGAAAACTTCATACCTATAAAATTACATTCCAAAGTTCAAACTTTAAAATTACCCGTTATTTTGATTATAAAGCACATATATAATTGGGAGCATATACATTACTTCTTATGTGACTGCATAACTTACAGTATTCAATAAAATTATACTAAGTAATCAAATATGAAAAATGACACCACTGCTTTTAGAAAAAAGATTAATACATATTTAATGCACATTTAAAACAGGATATGCACACAAACCTTGATGTCGCATGGCCATTATGTCATTATCAGTAAAAGTCCTAAGGTAATAATGTAACTCTGTAACTCTTGCTTTGGGTAGTATGATGGCAGCTCTGTTCCAGTCCAGAAACTCACTAAATGGCAGATTAATGTGGTTCCCAAGGATTACAGGTATAGCACCAGTCTTTAGAGCTTCATATATTCGAATATGTATTTGTGGTGTACTAATTAAATTATAATTTGCAGGGCTTATGAGAAGAGAAAATGTAGAATCTTTTAAAATAGAGGTTCTACTTTCATATGAACCACACAAAAGCCACTCAGAATCCAAACCAGGCACAGTACTGCCTGCACACGAAAACTGAAAGAAGAAATTATCACCAAAGTTGGACAGCTGCATTTTTTTTAGCACATCTATTATTGATTCCTCAACATCATCACTGTCTTTCCTTATTCTTGAGATCTTGACTAAATCTTCTGAATCATTATTTGAATTGGGAAATGAAGATGCAGAAGGCTTTTGAGAATTATTTTGTGAGGATGATTTGAATGTTCTGTATTCTCCTTGGTATGATAATAAAAATTTCCTACGGGCAGGAGAATATAAATATATTTCAGAAATGCGGTCTTTTTTAAGTATCAAAGGTGGTGCTATTATATCAAAACCACTGCGGAACTCATTTGCATGAAAACAAGGTTGGACAATTATGGCACGGCCAGTGTTCACTCCTGCGAAAAGTCTGGTACGACTAGCTTCTAATGCTAAGTTTAATAAAATATGATTGCGCCCATCCCCATTCCAATGGGTCAAAGATTTAAGATAATTTTCTAAAGATGCAGTATCACTTTTCTCATGAATTTCTCCCACAAGAACAACATAGACACATGCTATAGTTGGATCAAAAGTAATATGAATGTTAATATTCAAAGCTTCAGTGATTGCACTTTTGAGAAGTTGATCTTCTGGATTCCAGGAACCAAAATCATCTGGATGATAGAAATACACAGGGAAGCCAGATGTAAGTGAACACCTTGAAAAATCAAAGCACAGATGAGTGCGGCAAGATTGAATTCCTTTCATACTGGCAGAAGACAAAAATATTCCATCCTCAAGAGATGGAAGAATACGTTTTGGAGGAGATATGTGAGGGCTATTTTTTTCTTGAACTTCCTTCTGAGCATACTGTGCTTGTTCTACAGACACCCTCAAGCGTTCTAATTCAACTTGTTGGTGAGTGTAATCTGCTTTCAAGTCTTCCATCCTCTGACTTAGAATAGATATATCTGACTGTAAGAGAAGTCAAAAGTAAATTCATACAAATTTCCAATGTAAAAAGATACATATTATAAATATATCACTATAAGGAAAAAAACAAACTTATAAAGGCAGAATATTAGGTGGGAAAAAATGCTTGATATTAATCAAATAAAAAGATTGTTTTACTAGACAGTTTTCCAGACAACCAACTATAACATTTCCTTAAAGAAAAATGAATTTATGAATTTGCCTTCAAATGCAAGGTAAAATGTACAGCAATCATACTCATGAGAAGGCAATAAGTATTTCAATCCAATGGCAGTGTGATGTGTTTCACTAAGTGAAATAACTGAGGATAGCCATATGTGTTGTTGCAAAACATGAATTTCTAGTAAAATATTATGGATAACACATTTCGATAAAGTTAATAGAGAATTTCTGAAAAAGTCAGGTTTAAAAAAAAAAACATAAGATAAATATTGCATCATCAAATTTTTGAAGACATTCACAATTGCTAACATTATTTTGGACAATATTGTGTCAGTCCTTCTTTGATTACCCAACTGGACTATTCAATCTTTTTCTTTTTTTTGGGGGGGGGAGGGGATACTAAAAATGTTATACTAATAAAGATATGACTTAGAACACAATAGTGGTACAGCAAACCAGACCTCTGTTAAAAACTTTGATGTGCTGTGAATTTCCAGATTTGAATGCATCATTCTCATTTAATCTGGCACATTATAAACCAAACATCATGTTTGTAGGAAGAATTTATAGCAAACTATGGATTGGATAGTGGTCTAGAATACCTACTAAGATTATTTGCCTAAAGGAAAGGATGCCTTCATGAGAAAATGGCTAATGAAGGCAATTTAATTACATATGGGGAACATCACACAAAAAAGCACATGCAATAATCTGTTAACTGCAATTTGAACTTTTTAAATTTGGTTTGAACCACCCCTGTTTAGCAATCTTATTCACTCGGCAGTCGTGGGTCAATAGATTGTGACCAATCCTTTATTATGGATTATTTAGTGAGACAACTTAGTAACCATTAGTAAACATCTTTAGAATAATACAGAGAGAGAGAAATATATCATTTAAATAATAAATGTTCTAATAAAATGTAATAGTCACATGCTTGTAATTTGCATCACTATACATTCCAACCAAAGGATTATTATAGAACGAAATTTAGCCAATCTTAGAACCAATATCTCCTACATTTGCTGTAAATATATGACTAATGTTAAACTTGTTAAAACCAATTTTTAGTTAATCTTTCAATATATGATGTAAATGGTTTCATTTCTATAGAGCAGGGTTTCTTAAACTTTTTGGTGTGGGGACTCCCTAATATTTATGAAAATTTTGTGGGACCCCATAAGCATTGCGCAAATCCAACACACGTGTGAGTGAAACTATCAGTTTCTTCACTTGTACTGCAATATCCTATTGCAGTTTTAGGTTCCTGACTTTAATTTTTAAAGTAAAATGAACATTTCGATTATAAAAGAAATGTGACAAAATATTGTTTTCATTTTTTTCTTTGTCTGTATTGTCTTATCTATATTTTCATATGCATAAAAACATTTGGTTATTATTATAATAAGTCAAAGAAATATTAAAATTGCTAAATTTTTGGCGACCCCTACTGCAAGTCCCGTGACCCCAAATGGGGTCATGACCCACAGTTTAAGAAACTCTGCTATAGAGTGATATATTTTAATGAGCATTACAAAATGCTACAATAATCCTTTCAAGAAATCCAAATCCTCTTATCACATAGTAATTAATTCCAATGTAATGGATATTTTAAAACTCATTGTACTTATTAAATTAGATATTAAAATACAATAATTCTGAAACATGTTTTTCTATACACAATACGAATGTTTACTAGGATCCCATACGCAATGATCACTGACTTTAATTTTTAAAGTAAAATACATGTTTCTTTTATAAAAGAAATATGTCAAAACGTTGTTTTCATTTTTTCTTTGTCTGTATTGTCTTATCTTTATTTTCAGATGCATAAAAATATTTGGTTATTATAAAACTATTGTAATAAGTTAAAGAAATACTAAATGTTTGGCGACCCCCCTACTACATTAGATTAATAGGCAGACCATAACTGGCCACAGTATGTTCTGGCTGATTTCAGACCTCATGAAAGATTTTCCAAGGAAACCAGACTTCAAATAAAAATTATAATACGTCAAATAAAAATTAAAAAAAAAAAAAAAAACACTTGTATATTTAAGTTATCTTACTTAAACACCAAATACCATTACTTTTACTACCTTTAAAGGTTCTCTTCTGTTATTGGGGTACCAAGTTTGTACCAGTGATAACATCCCCCTCCCTAAACAAAATTAGCCACCAGTGGGTAAAAGATATACAAAATATACATGATTCAACTGTATATTACTCAGTTATAGTGATAATAATGTACAACATGAATTTTAAAAAAGGGAGGACATAAGTAAGTAAATATGATACAAGGGGTGATCAAATGAAAAGGTACGAAACGACGTAAAACGTAACAGTTAAATATTTGCATATTCCGCCATGGGAGAACGTAGTGAGACATCTCGGGACACTACGTTCCTCGAGCACAGAAAAACCATTAGCTCCGATGTGTACAGTAAGACACTCCGACACCTATGCAGGTTCATCAAAAAGAAAAGACTGGGGCTTCTCACGAAGGGTGTGGTTCTGCTCCATGATAACACACATCCACACGTCTCCAGAGTCACACATGGAAATGGCCAAGTTCAAGTGGGAGACGTTGGACTATCCGCCCTACAGTCTGGACATGTCGCCTGCGATTTCATGTGTTTGGTCCACTGAAGGAACCCCTGAAAGGGAAGCACTTTAACTCGGACGACGTACTCAAGGACACTGTAAAGGACTGGGTCTCGTCACGGCCACAGGAATTCTGAGAACAAGGAATCCTGCAGCTTGTTCATCGGTGAGATTGTTGTGCTCAGGCCTATGGTGTATATTTTGAATAAAGTCTACATTTGTACCCACCATGTCGTTTCGTATCTTTTCATTTGATGACCCCTTGTATATTAATACTGCATTCTGCTTTAATCAAACACCCATCACTAGTTGAATGGGAAAAACTTCTGAATGTACTTCCACGTGGGTTCGAATTCTGGTGAATGGGCTGGTTGCAACAGCAGCTCTATGGTTTTCTTCATGTCTCACAGGAATATGAACCAATTTACCTATGAAAGGGTATTATAAAGGTATCTTTCCTCTTAAGCAAATAGACCTCATGTGCATGTCCAGAACTGACTGAATATGAAATAAGCCTTAATAATAAAAGTAATATAAAAATAACAGCCTTAACCTTTAATAAAAGTATAAACAGTATAACTTATGCCATTTAGCTTTTTTTTTTTTTTTTTTTTAGTTCAGGTTTTTTTTTACATTGGATGTAACTTTATCTATTTGTTTAACCACACATCTAGCAAGATATTAATTAGAAAGCTCATACTGCTTACATGCAGGAAAGATACTCAACATGACTAAGTAAAACTGTATAGCATTACATACATTTGATTTTCTACAACTTACACTAAAACATCACAGAAAGCTGCCTATTATATCAGATTCTGAAAATGCAATTCTACAAATAACCATAAATTTTAAAGGTTCTCTTCTGTTATTGGGGTACCATTCAGCATCAAACATAAACATTGGCATGCAATCTATCTAGATGGTGGCAAACCTAATGATAGATAAAGCTTCATGAAAAGAATAATTATTTGATATGTAATGAATATAATATATATATATAGTATATACATAATGCTTAATGCGTACAATGCCAAAGATATGCCGGAACGCCAAATTGTGCATTTGAACTTACATATTAATGCAACCATTTTGGCCCAATTTAGCAATTTTTTAACAGATAAAATGATAACATTTATCTATTGGGTGAAAGTTGGCGATTTTTGGGACTTAAATCACAAACTATAAATGTGTATCTTAAATTATTGGTAAAAATTATCAACATATGCAAAATCAACACACTTTAGCAATTTAAAATTTGAATTTTAAGTGTTTAAGAAGGATAATGTGATACATTAAAAAAATGAAACACTAACATTCATCTCCAAATCCATCTGCAATTTTTTGGTGCTATTCTTCCCAAGTACACAGTGCTCTATTTTCGCTTAAAAAAAATCAGAGGAGTGTGGAAATTCAGCATTGTACAAACCTCAGCAACACTAGCTATTTACAAATGCATCTTCTTGCTGTTTCCTTCAGAGATTTTTGGCAAAATTCTGCATTTTTATGAAATTTTACTAAAGTTTTTTCCATTGCTGGCAAATCCCACAAATGAATATTTTAAAATTAAATCTAAGGCAAGAAATATCATGATTTGTTTATAAAACTCAGCATTGTACAAACCTCAGCAACACTGGCTATCTACCAAATGCATCTTCTTGCTGTTCCCTTCAGAGATTTTTGGCAAAATTCTGCATTTTTTCAGAAATTTTACTAAAGTTTTTTTCCATTGCTGCCAAATCCCACAAGTGAATATTTTAAAATTAAAGGCAAGAAATATCATGATTTGTTTATAAAAACTGCTGGAACATGGAATATAGCATAAATAATGCATATGAAAATGGCAGCATTGCTTGACTGAAGGATTTTTCTGAGTATGGTTGCCTAAAGAATGGTTCTGTGCATGGTTGCCAGATTCTGGAACATTCTGAAAATTTGGCGACTACTACTAAAGTGATTGCAATAACACATAAGTACCATGCAATTTTCTGATTTTTTTTTTTTTTAATTCAAAATGCATTGCTGTGCATATGAGGTGAAAGAAACTGTTCAATATAGAGACAGATCTGTTTTTGCTAAAAACATAGCCAAGAATTACATAAATTTGGTATAAGCACAAATTCAGCAAAAAATGACAATCTGCAGTTCAATATAAAAGCAACCAGAAATCTAGGACAGAAAATTATTGGATTTATGCCCGTTCTTCTACCTGTTTGCAGTGATGCTATTGCTGACACTATGCAAACAAGCTACAAGATTTGGCATCTTTACTTACCTTTGGCAACTTGTGCCCCATTAACAAAAAAACACCAATTTTTAGTTTATTTTCACTATTCTGTATAAAGAGATTACAATGATTTTTATGATGCTTAATAAAAATATTAATTTTATTGATAGAAAAGCTGGCAGCTCTTAAATAAAATTTTCATGATAAATTCAGAAATTTAATTTTTTTATTTATTGCATTGCTAAGATTAATTTTAAGATAACAAATAAATTATTTCTCTATATTACAGAAGACACAATGCTATAAAATTCTAGTTTAAAAAATATTTATAATTATTTTGGAAAAAGTAATATTTTACACATACCTGCAATCTTTGTCTTCGACTTTCTAGATCTCTGAGTTCATCGCTGACTGAAATCTTAATACGAATCATTTCTTCTATCCTGCCCTTTAAATCAACAGCTTTAATTGACTCTAAATCTTCCATCTGTACTCCTTTGTGATGTATCTCTGCAGTGGGACTATCTCTTATAAACTTAAAAAAAAAAAAAAATTAAAGATTAGTTCCACATCCCCCACATACACAGTGAAGAAATGAATGTATTTGAGAATGTTTTATTTGTTTTATGTAATACCCCTCTTTTGACATTAAAAACATTAATATGTTAAATACTCAATTCAAAGTTTGCTTATATAGATACTTCAACGTATGTTCTCTTTGAAATATGTCCCACTTGTTATAGGTCCTGTTTAAATGAAAAAAAATTTTATTTGGTACATGACATTTGTTTGGAATACAACTCAAGTCCAATGAGTTCTTTAAAGAATATGATTACAAATGAACTCGCTTCAGAATTTTCTAATTCACTGAATATAATGATTTAGCACTATAAAATTTTATATGTTGAATTAAGCATTTCAGAATGTTTTGCCTAGGTGAAAGACAAAGTTAATACTTTAACTTTGCTCAGAACTACTGGCCATTTTCCTCAAGCTTATTTCATCAGCATACAACTAGTATGCATGATGTTACATGACACAGTAAAAGCTAAATTGGCTCTTCCTATTTGAAAACTTTACAGCTTTGTTCACCATGACCAGCTACACTCACGTTTGTGAAAATTGCAACACCATGAAGGACTTACGCGAGTGAGCTGAAATTTTCAGGAAATGCATGATATGCAAATGATTAGAATTGCAAATCCGTAGCGCATGCGTATGCTGAGCAGCACCCTCTGAACGGCTAATGGATCCGAATAAATAGACGGCTGTAGCGAGGCGTGTATGGTTATCGGTGGTTATCTGCTAGTGGTAAATGTTAACTCAATCTGTACTTATGCCTCGACGACGAAAGAGAGCGAGATTTGAACAACTTACAGAGTTTGAACGAGGGAGAATCATCGGCCTTCGTGAAGCTGGATTGTCGTATCGTGCAGTAGCCTCTCGTGTGCAGCGTAACAGCAGCACAGTGATGCGCGTTTGGAAGCAGTGGACGGACGAGTGTCGGACAACTCGGAAATCCGGGAGTGGACCCCGAAATGTGACGTCAGCTCGCGATGATAGACACCTGGTCCGCATGGCGCGGACGGACCGTACAGCTTCCTCTAGACAATTGGCAGCACTGTGGTCAATAGCTACAGGTGTTTCATTGTGTGCTTCATCAATTCGTAGACGTCTGCTGCAGTGTGGACTGCACGCACGGACTCCTTTATACAGGATCCCCCTAACGCACGACCATCGCCGCCTGCGGCTACAATGGGCCAATCAGCATAGAGACTGGCGTGCTGATTGGCAGCATGTCGTGTTTTCTGACGAATCCCGCTTTAATTTGTGGTACCATAATGGCCGCATTCGTGTCAGACGCTATGCCGGTGAACGCCACCTTCCGGAGTGCATTATCGAACGCCACAGTGGACGAACACACGGAGTTATGGTCTGGGGCGCCATAGCATATCATAGACGATCTCAATTGCTACGAATTGTGGGCAATCTGAACAGCAACCGGTATATCCGTGAAGTTCTACAGCCCGAAGCTGTTCCCTTCCTTCAAAGCTTGCCAGGCGCTGTATTTCAACAGGACAATGCCCCGCCCTCATACTGCTCGGATTGTTAAATCCTTCTTTGCAGTGCAGCAGGTACAGCTTCTTCCTTGGCCTGCATGTTCCCCGGATATGTCGCCGCCAATTGAAAACATGTGTGGGATGTCACTGGTCGGCGTCTTGCTCGTGATCCTCGTCCTGTTGCGTCTGCAGACGAACTTTGGGTACGCGTACAAACGATATGGAATGCTCTTCCTCAGTCAGACATTCAAACTTTGTTTGACTCCATGCCACGTCGTGTAGCAGCACTTATTGCGGCGCGTGGTGGCCACACAAAATACTGATTCTGATCTCTTGTTCTTGTTTGTTTGCTTTGAACATTTAATCATTTATTTGTACCACTACCACTCAACTGTGTATTAAATTGCATTCAATTATGACGATTCCTTCTTGGTGTTGCAATTTTCACAAACGTGAGTGTATTTTGCTAAACATGTCAACAAATCATTAGACACAGCTATCTGTATTTTGCATGGACAACAGTGTTATAGAACAACTAACATATCAAAATAAAAAATTTTTGAATAGTCATAGAATTTATTTAAATATAAATAATATTTAATAATCTTTTCAGAGCAAACACCTTTTGGTATTTAAAAAACATAAAACAATGAAAAATGGCACACTTACCTTAGATAAATAATAGTGTGTAAAAAGAGGTACCATAACTAAAATAAACAAGAGCATCCCTATGACCCTGGAGAGACGTACTGAAGGCAGTCGATGAACAGCATACCATACTGGAACAGATTTTCCAGCTGGTGATTCCAAAGAAACCATTGTGAATTTTATTGTAGATTCCAATCACCCCATGACTTTTGAATAAATTTAAAAACCTGCCTTATCACTCATCATATTACCCATCACAGAAAGATAGCCTACATAAAGAAAAAAGATTTTATAAAACACTACTTTGCTTATTTAGCTGGATAGTTATCAATTAATAGTAACAATATATAGCAATAGTAGCAACAGCACCAAATTCTGTTCAATAAATACGTTTTAAGTTCTGTTTCTTACTGGATAAAATACAATGCTATGTATACAAAATTTTAATTTTCTTGATACATGATTGATACATACATACATACACACATACATACATATATATATAAGAAAAATTAAAGAATATGTAAAAGATTAAATTAGCAGCATAAATTAATTTCCCTTCTCAATTCTAAAAATGACAACCAATTGAAAGGAACTCCAAACTGATTTAATTTTATAATGCATGTTTCAGGTTACTGAACTAGTTTTAATTATTTGATTAAGCATTCTAAATTATATGTTCTTGGTAATTAATTACATTTTATAACTTACACTTTTATTCCAAGAAAATCCCATGTAATGAAGGAAAGCTTTTATTTATGAAAGTGCAGAGGATGTTCGCATATTTTTTTAGATGATTTTGCTTTGCTGTGAAAAAATCTTCTGCTTGGAATTTTCTTTTTAACTGCAACTATATTTTTGAAAGTATAAATAATCTTCTGCTACTTGACAGTTTTGTTTTCATGCAAAATGTCACTTTTAAAGATGCAATGGATGGAAGGCTATGTTTGGTTTCTTTCTGAAGAAAATTATTTGTATCTAGTTATTAAAACATGGCTTTCACAGCCCTGTTTCGATATATAAAGCTATGATAGGTAATAATGTCAGCAAGAAAGAAAAAAAATTTCAAAGTTGGCTTCGAGGAGAAAAGTTGTTCCAATGCAGTACAGTACAAAGTCTTTAATCTGGACTCATCGAGACTTCGTCGATTCCCAATTATAGATCATCAATTTAAATCTGGTAAAATGGCATGCAAAAATTATAAAATTAAAAATATGAAACCGTAATTTATGAAATAAAGAGCAATTATGATCTAAACGGTTCTAAACATTTCTTTCAATGCGCGAATGCGTAAAGCATACATGATACATAATCGAAATTAGAAAATTGCAACCAGAAAATGTGTATTCATGATGTTTATAATGACGAGGAATTTGACTTAACTCATATTAAAGACGGAGTACATCGAGATGAAATACTACATTTAGTAAAGAATTATAAGTTGAATAAAATAAAAGTATCTGCTCTGAAGATGAGGATAGTGCTGATAGATCAACTTCCAGTTCATTGCGTGCCGCGACGTTCCTCCCCGCAGAGCAGGGAGAAATTGATAAACAGATTTCGGAATGGTTAGAGAAACAAAGGATAAGCCTTTATCCATTTTTTGCAGCAATTCCACTTTTTGTTTGATGGACATCGAAACATGCTTTCGCTTTGTACAGCCTTTGGCAGCTCCAGAATCGGAAACTCTTTTTGACATAATTGAAAGTTCAAGCTTACTTTTTATAAAATTGCTTTAACAGTCTGCAAAAAATAATAAGCTGGATCCAATTAAAAGATTATGGAACAACGCTATCTGCAACTGAAATAGACAATTTTAGCCTAGCTTATACCGTCCATTATACATTAAACGCACATGCGTAAATGTATTAGGCACATGCGTGAACACATATTCATAAAGGTATTATGTGCATGCATTAACGCATTATGCATTTACGCATGTGCAGAAAGTTTGTAGCTCTGAGGTCCGGATTGACTTTATACTATATTTCAAATATTGCAAAGGTAAGTTCCTTCATGTTAAAAGAAAATTCGCAAAGTCAAAGGAGAGTTGTAAAATCATTAAAATGCTCAATGTCAAGTGGAAACAAAAAATTAATGTCTGCTTGAATCTGAAAAGGGCAGAAAAATATAATGTGCATTGTCTTTCTACACAACCGAATGCAGAACATGCTGCAGAAATTTTCATGGCAAACATTTTCCAGAGAAAAATGGAAAAAATATTGCCACAACAGATGAATCTTGCATATATTTAAATGATATAATGAAAAGAATCCATTTATTATCAGGATACAAAATTCTTAAAAATAGACCAAATAATCTAAAGAAAGTTTTTCAAAAGGATTTATGATTGTTTTTGGTTTTTGATATAACTAAAAATTTAAATTAAAGAGAGTGGAGAAAACTGCTAAGGTCAACTCCACATGTTATCAGGAACATATTTTATACCCAATTTTCAAATATGAAACACCTTCTCTTTATAAACAGTGGCATCAGTCAGTAGAACTGTACTGAGACAAACCACTGTTAATTTCCTGTAAAAAATGGAACCAAAAACAGGTATCACAATTATACACTTCACGTATATCCCTACTAAATCGCCTGATAATTAACTCACGGATATTTGCGCTTTTGGACTTTTAAAAAGTGGATTGTCCAACTGTCAACCTACAACACTCCTTGTACTTTGGTAAGCTGTTCAAGAGGAATGGTATAAAATACTTCTGCTACTACAAAAGGCTTTATTGTCTTCGAAATTACAGTGTAGAAAGACAGTGGAGAATAAGGGTTATCAAATGTAACATTTAAAACACAAAAATTGGCTAATTTTTAGAATATGGTAACAGGTAGTTTGGCAGCATTTTGGTAAGGCAATAAAGGTTACTTAGCTAGGACTTTAGCAATAATCTGAGAAGTACACAGTTCGAATCACAGATTATTTTGTCTCAGAGAAATGAGAGATCATGAGACATGTAATATGACATTTTCCGGAAAATTCCAATCGGAATTTTACTTAATAAGTACTTAGAAACAATTTCGCTGCTAAGTCATCCACTTATTTGTGCAGAATCGTCCACTTATTTGTTTGGTGCTTTTTACAAGAGTAAGAAGAATTGGATTTTTGTCAATTTTCTTTGACTTTTTAAGTGAAAATAGGTTGATCTGTACATGGATAAAGTCAAGAGTGTGCGTAATGCCATTTTTGTGGAATTCTGGGATGTTTTTTTAAGTGAAAGTAGGTCGACGTGTATATGGAATTCTTAAAAACGCGGCAAGCAGTGGGCGATTCTACACTTTCTCCCAATTTGGCACCTAATCTTCGTCATGATTAAGCACTTTTGTTCCGAAAAGTTCTAGCATAAGCGTAATTTGGCTAGCAGATTGTTGGAAAAAATGTTGAGTAAAAAAGAAAAAAAAATGCCTTTACTTCGTGACAACAAAACAGCGTCCAAAAAAAAAAAAATGCCTTTACTTCGTGACAATAAAACGGCATCCAAAAAATAAATAAATAAATAAATAAAAATTAAAAAAATAGCAGGTTGCTGTAGCAGGGTTGGTCGCCAAAGTTTCGCCAAGTTACTATAATTCAAAGATATACCCCAACATTTTAGGTAAAATATTTCGTTAAATACAATGAAAATTGTCTAAAAAATTGATGAACAGCCTCTGCACTTTCAAATACAATGAAAATAAACAATTAACATACATAGTGTTAGTGTGTATAAGAAATGCATCATATATTGAAGTAAGCAACATTAAATATAAATATTAACTGATTAAACATTGCTTGAATATTCATACATAAAAATTTACAAAAGTCTATGGTGGAGTAAGACAACTCAGATCAAATGAAATTTAAAATTTGATAAGATCACTAAAATGTAAGAAAAATACAATTCAGATGAAATAATATTTAATGTGAAAAATTATTGTGGAAATCAATAAAAGTGATGCTATGGAATTTGTTTAAGTTCCATTAATTTAATAAATTTCCTTTATCCCTCAGAAACATTTTTTCTGAGCAAGGCTAGAAATTAAAAACTAGGAAATTTGGTGATCTACTAGGAGATGTGGGAGAGTTGACAGATATGCCATATTCAGTATATTTCAAAAATAAAATGCGAATGATTTATATAACAAATTGTTAACAAATTTTTATAACAAACAAATTGAATGCTTAATTACATTATCTTACCAGAACACTAACTTACCATCAGTTCATTATTCAAAAATTCAAATTTGAAACTCTTTTGTTGAAATTAATATCTTGCCAAACTTTAAGAAGTTGTAATATTCACAAGCTTAAAAATTAATAACTAATATTGCATAGAATAAAAATGAATACATATGACCATTTTCTTACACAAATTCCTAAATTATTTACAGGTCTGAACTGTAAATTAGAAACAAATGCTTCCTAGTCAATTGTTATTTTAATTTTTCAATTTAATTTTAATTAAAATGGCTAGACGTCAATACATTTAATCACCTGAAATGCACTGTATGAATAATATGTATGATGCACATGTTTGCATCCATCCTTCTTGTGATGTTTAAAAATATTCAACTGCTGTTCCAAAATTCTGTCTTAATAGCTCCACATAAAGAATATTTTTGACAGATAAAATATTACTAAGGTTCAAGAAAACTCAGATAGTTAATGGTTACAAAAGATTTAATTAAGCTTCTGAAAATATTAAAAAAAAAAAAAAAAAAAAAAAAAAAAAAAAAAAAAAAAAAAAAAAAATTAGATGCTTAAAAAAAGCACCACATGAAAATTATAGCTATTTTCCCATAAGCAGCATTATTTAAAAAATATGTTAAAATATTTGTCAAAAAGATTGTTTGGTGGTCACTGCTTAACATTAAAAATCTTCAAAACTGCATCAGGTGATTATTATTACTTTATTACTATTATTTCACTAATAATCACACTACACAATGTTCTGCACTGTCACATCAAAAACATCTCAAGGTGTTGTCAATGATAATATACCAAATTATTTGGTCAGATTAATTTCTTTCCAAACTTTTTAAAAGAAAATGAACTGTAAGTTAAAAGGAAGAAAACTTATACAATCACCAAACGCAGTTAATGCGTTCTACCTTGAACTTCGACACAGCAAGAGAGATTACAAAATTAAAAAAATAATTAATATTGAATTTAATTCTTTTAAACAGTTGATTGACGGTTACAACAGAATAAACAATTTTATGATATTTCAAGAGTACAGTTAAAATTATAATCTATATAAAATACGCTTCCGTGATTTTTAGAAAATGTACTTTTTATGTGCAAATTAGACTTAACAAATAAAGAGCCTTTAAATCGTACGTCTAAAACATTACTTAAATCGTAAGTCTAACAACTTTATTACAAAAATCAAAGCTTATACCTCAAATGACTGGATATAAAGTCACTGTTATACACAATCCGTAGAAAATCACAGCACAAGATTTACGTAAAAACATTTCGCGTAGTATTCAAAACTTCAAATATAAACATACTTTTCTAAAAATTATTAAACATGATTCCAGATACACGTTCGTATAAAGCTCAGCTGACGTACAGTCATAAGTAAAAATCAAGAAGTCGTAGATCAGTAAAAACAAATATTTAAGTCAACAAATAAAACTGTAAACAGAGCGGTGTACTTAATCTTTGAGTTGAGAAGATATGTTGCTTCTTTAGCAAATGGTATTAATAATTATCATATTTATTGCAAAATTATTTTAGATTTCATTGAGAGTTTGGAAATAAGAATTTAAAGTTTTAATTTTTAATACACAGTGAACTATGCATATTGATATTTTTAAAGCAAGACCTACATATCTTGAATTTATTACGTGTACAATGTATTCACATATTAGGCAAAAGGTCTCGGTATCTGCAAAAATGAATATTAGAAATGGTTTTCTTTCTAAACTACCAATAACTCTTAATAAAAGAAATGTATATTTATTTCAATAGTTATATCAAATCACATATAATCATTGACTATTTTAATAATATTGACTATTTTAATAAACTACCACCTTAATAATACATTTTCGAACTCATATACTTAATCCCATACTGAATTATGTAGAAATGTACATAAGTGGACGTTAGAATTAAAATATACTTTGGTGATCATAGACTAAAATAAAAAATACCTCTATATTGAAATTGAAACAATTAGACATGAAGATTCGGTTTTGTTGACAGAGCGGATGCCGTCTCCCGAGTGGCTGTCGTCTCTATTCACGATTTACATTTAGAAGTCATTCCAAGTCCTGCTCGCATATGTAACAGTATTGCGTTTTATAACTTATCTTTTATCTTCAAAGATTGAAAACATTAAAACAGCTGTTTTGATCTCTACACATTTCTTTCTGCCTGCTAAGCCTCAGGTGAGGCAATGAAGAAATAGTTTTACGAGTGCTAGTCCACTGGAAAAGTGTTTTATTTTAAAAGCTTTACGGTTTGTTATGCTTTAGTAAAGAAAAATGCTCACACGTTATAATTAAACTTATCTTCTTAATGATGAATTTAATTCCCATTCTTCAATGTTAGGTGAGGTTAGCGTTAGGTGTTAAAAGATGACTTTATGACAGTTATTTATAGATCAAAGAATCTTGATTAGCTTATTACATTAATTTCTAAGCTAATTAAGATCAAATAATCTTAATTCGCTTAGAAAAGTTTTTGTATTATTCAGTTATAGAATATATCTGATTTCGAGTAATTTATTACCTTAATAATAATTCATCTAAATTTTCGTGTTAAAAGCAAACTCCTTTGAGAAGTTTATTGTTTCAGGTTTGCGAAAAATTAACTCTGTTGTCGTTTGAAGATACATATTTAATTTATTTTTACTTTTATGCAGAATTATCGAAGCGAATTATTGCTTACTCTGAATTGATATGATAATGTCATGAGAAGTTAAAATAATTTTATTATTAAGTCTTTAATTTAAATTGAAGGAACCATTTGTGCATACAAAATAACCTTCGACACATGTGGGTATTTAAAATAACGCAATTCGAAATCCATATTCGACTACATAAAATAGCTTATTTAAGTTGGCTGAATATTATTAAATCTTGTTTTTCTAACGTCGCCTAGTAAAATGGCTGAAGCCGAGCTGGCGATATGATGTAAGCTTAAAGGGGAGGGAGGCAGAAATCTCTAAAACATTCAAAACCCTCGATTTAAATAACAAAACAATTAATTTGTATTCTAGAAAGGACTCGGAAAGATGAAGCTATAGTAAAGCTTTGAGTAACAATAACTGGCTAATTAACATAAAATACCTTATAATATAACAACATAACTTTGAAAAGTGGACGATAAATGTTCTTAGATCATATCGTAAGATGTTAATGCTTTTCATAGCGTTAATTTTTGCTTCAAATGTTCAAATTGTTCAAATGGAAAGGAACTTTAAAGGAATTTTGCGTAATCGGTGGGAACACAAGATTGCCAGTGTTTTCTTTGACTTTTGATGCATTTTTTTAAAATTAAATGTTCAATATGCAAACAGCACACAAAAGAAAAACAACCTAGGATTTGTATTTCAATTAAAAATTTCTCGTTTCATTTTCGTTGCGTTTTAGACTTAACTACTCATATTCTGAGACATAATGATTGTATCTTTTTTATATTTAATTATTGCTTCATATAAATGATGATGGCCCACCAGAGGCCGAACTGCTAAAAGCCTCTGAACATTGGTAGTTCAGTCTGGGATTCGAGCTCCAAGAAAGGGCTGGTTGCGTGGGCGTTTACGGGGTTTTCCTCATGTGTAACGTGGGTATGAGGCAATTTCCCTTAAAAAGTTCTCCAAGGAACATCCCTTCTCTTCCGTGTAGCTCCTAATGGCGGAACACGAAATAAAAATAATACATAAAAAATAAGGTTTGGTTTTATCAAATAACTGAATCTCAAAGGATTTTTTACTCATTTTTTACCCTATAAACGTCTTCAAGATTCCAAATATTAATTGCTATTTCAAAATAAATTTTAAAGACAATACATTAAATGTCTTAAACGTACTTTCAGTTACAGTTTAATAAATTAAGCAGTGCTTTTAATTTATATTTTTCTATGGCTGGTGTGGTACTTCTTTGGCGATATGAAGCAACTCCAATGATGGAACACAGCAATACTTTTATTTAACACTCAAAAATGGCGACATACAAACAAGAAGAGAAAACATATTCTAACATTTAAAAATAAATTACATTCTTCTTGCGAGAGTCGCACGTGGCACTCGATCTGGTTTCAAATATTGCCATTCACAAATATCTTAATGTTCATCTATTTAAATTATTTAAACTACAAGATTTGAATACTATTTAAAGCTGTTACACTGGTAATCCTAAGTTGTTTAGAAATATTCATAATCGCAAGTAAACAATGGAACAAATTTTTATGATTATTAAAAATTTAAATATGAGTAAATATGTTGCTGAAACTTTTGCTGCACTGGAATATCAATCAACAAAGAGGAAGTTACAAATAAAACTCACAGTGAGATATTTATATATAGCTTATAAGTTACATTTAAGTAATAATTATAAAGCATTATTTAATATTATAAATAATATTATTAATATTTAATATTATTTATATTATAAAGCACAGTTTAATATTATCGTATAAAAATATAAAATCTAAAAAGAACTATTGGATTGAATACTTAAAATTTTTTTCGTTACTTGCGTTACTTAATAATTAACATTAAATGTAACATAAAACACGTCGGTGTTCAATGCTTTAACAACGCAAATGACAGTTTGTGTTAAAATTTTACCATGTTTCACTCACATGAAGTGCGTAGCAGATGATTAGATACTATCTGACAACATTCCAAGTAAACAAAACAATTATATCTTAATACTATATTATTAAAAATTTGGAAAATTTTATTTCGGTATTTATAAATTTTATTTATGTTTTTAAAATAAAATAACATACAGTTGTAGAGACATAAGGTTATTCTGAAGAAGGAGATATAAAAAAGGAGTAACGCCCTCGCCAGGACTCGAACCACGAACCTCTCGAATACGGGACGAGCTTGCTGACCACTACACTTCGAAGGCATGCTAAGAAGGTGGAAGAAATACGTTATACAGTGGCTCCCAAAAGTGTTATGCCACTTTAAGAATTTGCAGAAAAAGGGGTGTAGTCCAGAATTAAATTCGAATATAAAGCCCAATATTTCTTCGTATCATCTCCATTCGATTTTGAATAAAACCGAAACTTTTATTTTTTTTAATACTGACCTATTTTCATTTTCTAAAATTGAAAATGTAAGGAATCATAGATAAAACACGCCACAAAAGTGATCCTACGCCGAAATATTTTCATAAAATTTCATAAATGAAATGATAATAGGACCTTTTTACTTCCTTGCACGAAGTAAAAAGGAAGTATTGTAATCGCGAAAAGTTTCAGATAGCATATTTCAACGAAAATATCCATTTTGACAACTATCGAATGCAATTTAACGATGTTTTACGGGATATCTATACGTAAGGACAGAATAAAATACTCATTTCCTCCAAAAAAATTATAAAACTTCTTTAAAAGGAATTCTGAAGAGAATTTTTCATGGCGTTTGTACGAACGTACGTACGTACGTATCTCGCATAACTCAAAAACGAGTAGCCTCAGAACGTTGAAATTTTGTACATAGGACTGCTATAACATGTAGATATGCACCTCGTATTTCGATTGCAATCGGGCGCACCAAACGTATATAAATATATTTATATATATATATCTACTCTGTTACCCGGCTCAGCGATCTCAGTTTCTTTTCTCTTATATATTTGTAAATTGTACATATATTTGCTTTAAAAATGATTGAATTATGTTGTTCTTATCTTTCGGTTAAGGTTTTTATGCCTTTAGTAAATCTGTATGCAGTATTTTTAGAATTATCAACAATAAGTTGTTTAAGTGCAGCTCAGCCTAATAATTTTTTTTTTTTTTTGATGGCGGTCATTGCTTGTTTACATTTGAAACAGCAGGATAGTGGATTTGTTGCCAATCTAGAGAAACATAACTTCGCAACAACAAAGATAACGCCTTCATTTATTATTTCAATTAAATCATGCTTAATCCTTTCTGGAATTTTTTCGAGAAAATAACTGTTTAAGATTTGCTTCGCAATTTTTAATACAGATATTTTGAGTTTTTATGTATTTTTGAATTGTCGCGAAGTGAGAACTGAATTTATTGAACGAGAAATACTCAATCGTCTGTGAAAAACTGTTTCGTTTTTGTTTTGTTTGCTTAATTTCTTTTATATATCGTTGTAGCTTTATTATTTATTATAGTATTTGAATATTTATTATAGTATTTGAATAGAACATGTGGCAAGGATTAGATAATTCTTTAAATGATATAAATTTTGTTCATTCTGAGTTATAATATGAACGAAATATAATACTGTTAAGTGAACCTAGCGCCAGAGTGTCGCTATGGTAAACAAAAATAGTGAATTTTAAAGAATGCATTTATTCTGTTGTGGTTTATGCGCTGTCGGCGAAGTAGATTTAATTCAATCCAATAAGTTTAAATGAAATGCAAGAAAAAATGCGTATAATTTAATATTCCGTACTAGAAAGTCATGTAGTGTACACATCAGATTT